AAACAACAGCTGAGCAAACACATGTAACTTTGTTCAACATGTTCAAAGTTTAAGGTTTTTGTCGTATGACGTATATTGCATCTGATAAATGTACTCTAGTGCAGTTTTATGTGTGCTGCACGTGTGTCCCGTGCTGCACGCGTGTCCTATGCAGCACTTGGTATTTGACTGTTTTAACGAAGACAGATAACTCGTGATATTACAAAAAGGACTGCCGCACGAAGAACCTTGTCTCGGGTCTTAGTGGACATTTCTTTTATTTATAGAACTTTCAAATGAAAGAAAGTTTAAATTCACCATGTGCCAAAGATAATGGTGCAAATAAAGGTCAGTGATTTCATGTAGCAATAGATATACAATATGCATACACTAGTTTCTGAATGTATATTCAATAACACGTGGTGATCAGCTAAAACCATTGTTCTGTCTGCGAAAAGACATCCCAGGAACCATGGTAACGTTACAGACAATATGATATAGTTATCTAGTCATAATCGACAAAGATGTCTCAATAATAAATGAATACTATCACGCAGGGCCAAAGTTATAAAGACACAGTTTGTATTCTCATAGCATACACGAAAACGCTAAAGCTTAATCAATACAATGAGTGAGTGAGTTTGATTTTACGCCGCTCTTAGCAATATTCCAGCAATATCACGGCGGGGGACAACAGAAATGGGTTTCACACATTGTACCCATGTCGGGAATCGAACCCGGGTCTTCGGCGTGACGAGCGAACGCTTTAACCTCTAGACTACCCGACCACCCCCTTAATCAATACAAATAACATTTATCAATGAATAGCAACTTGACCACATCCTACATTATGCCCTCTTAGTCTTCTTGGCGTGGGTATGAGATCGTGTTCAATGTCCTTCATAGGATAACGATTTATTTAATTGTTCAACTTGAAATCCTGTGAGACGAATTATAGGACAGTTTGGAAGAAGAGCAGATCAGTATAAAATTACACCAGCTTATAACGCCTATTAATGGATTGTATTTGTCAATGGCCTTAAATTAGAGTACCTATTACGTTATTAATACCAGTCTTCCTTTGAGACGCCCCCTGACCTTGGTCAAAGACACGTGAGGTTGGTGACCCAAGGTGAGACATGACCCGTGGTCTTATTGTCATTGTCTTACGTCACTGGGGTAAGACGATTACATTCGGACATGAGGTAATCCGGCGCTTCAGGCGTGGACGGTGTTGAACAATTTGTAAAGACTTGAAAAGAACTATTTTTACCTCTAAGATAATGGTGTATTTGCGGAATGTAGGAATGAGTGACGTTTGGGCTATAATCACGACAGTGATAATTGATTATATGCTCAACATCACAAGTTCCCGTGACACTAATATTTTAGTGTATTTTTCAAACAAGTAAAGTTTGGTTTTCAATATTGTAGTACATGTATGGAATCAAGTCACAAAAGACGCAACTGCTACAGAAAAGCATGTATTCCATGCAAAAGTTGACTTTTATGCAAGCACCATGCATTTCACTACCCAAGAATGGGTATAAAAACATGTGCGTTAACGGGATTCCATATGCATTGTTTGGCATCGTGCTGACAACAACCACTCAGAAAAACAACAAAATTACGCAATTATTCAACATTACGAAATGCCACGCCTGCCCGAAAATGAGCGTCTGCGAGCCATTGGTATGCTTGAAGCAGGATCGAGTCAACGTGATGTTGCAAGACAATTTAACGTCCACAGAAACACCATTTGATGTTTATGGCAACGTTGGCAACAGACGAATGCAGTCAGAGACCATCCTCAGAGTGGCAGGCCACGCGTAACCAAGAATCGACAAGAAAACCGGATTCGAATAACACACCTACGGAATCGATTCCAGCCAGCAACAGTGACTGCAAGAAGCATCCCTGGCCTTCGACGAATATCTTCACAAACCGTACTTCGTCGCCTCAGATGTGCAGGGATTGTCGCCAGAAGACCCGCCAGACGTCCCATTTTGACAGGAAACCACCGTCAAGCACGTCTACAGTGGTGCAGTCAGCGTCTACACTGGACGGCCATGCTGTGGGGACAAGTTCTATTCACTCTTTTCATCTCAGCCACAGCGATGGACGGGGTGTACCGACGTCGAGGTGAGCGGCAAATTAAACCATTTGAACACTTACAGGAGTCTTATCTGTTGCAAACCGAAATTGTTTCAGATTTGTTAAAAGACATAACTTTGCATTAAATCTTATTCAATATCACAGGAACTTTTGTTGTTCAGTATATACGAGTGAGTATGGTTTTACGCCGCTCTTAGCAATATTCCTGCAATATCACGGCGGGGGACACCAGAAATGGGCTTCACAATTTGTACCCATGTCGGGAATCGAACCCGGGTGCTCGACGTGGATTATATGTGAACCAGAGGTGGAGTATATATAGGAGTTACAGATCAGACAAATGTATACATGGTAAAAGAAACATAAACATGACATAGTTTACGAGTTACCACTTACTTTTTGAAACTGACAATTGACTCACTTGCAGAGCGTGTGAGTGTGCTTTGCCTGGGTGAATGAAAGAATGTTTGTTTGTTGTTTAACGCCACACACGGCAATATTCCTGCTTTTTGACGTCAGTCAGTAAATAATCGAGCCTGGACAAGACAATCCAGTGGTTGACATCATGAGCATGATCTGCGCAATTGGCATCAACCAAGTCCACCTGTCCATCTGATCGCGTCAGTCGTCTCTCACGACAACCATGGGATGGTGAAGTCCAATTCTCGCCCAGATCTTCACGGGCGAGTGAATAAATGAGTTAGAAATTACATGTAACCGTGACAAGAATATTTTACAACTTTTCCATACTCATCCAAATAAAAATCATGCATAACATGCATAAGATATAATAGTGACTATGCACCGAGACGATGGTTCTGCTAGAAGAATTCGTAATCGATGAATATTTCTTTCCGGTAAACCATATCGATTACAACAGTATTTTCATGACACCACTATCAATGGCTTTAAGAATCACATTGAAGCGAGGCCTTGAGTTTCTTAAGATATCCAACAAATAATCACTCTATATATTGGGTACACATACATACATACATGTATGCATCCATCCATCCATTCTAGTCGATGGCATTGGCACTGGTATTTAATTCAATCATGCTCCTTCTCTACGCAAACAATGGTACGTGTATACAAGCATGTTATCCAGGCCTGACGATTAGACTAAAGTGAGGTTGAGTTTGTTTGTTTGTCTATTTCCAGTCTACGTCTAGACGTATAATGCGTGTCTAGGGGGATAGCATATGTTATGCATACCACTGTCTAACTGATAATGAATTAAACAAAATTACATAAGAGTTTGAAAAATAACGTCGGTTTGGAATGACTAGAATGAAACTTGTCAGGACTGTTAATTCAATAAACTTACTTAGTGTTCACGTGATGAAGGGGCAAGAAGCAGACCTGAAATGTCTTTACGAACAGTAAAGATGTTGTTATTAATAAAAGGTGCCTTGGCTTCACATCTTCCAACTTCTAAATGTCCATCAAAGACTTGATATGACTGCCAACTGATCGAGCCTTGTCCCCTACACGAATGTATTTCAGATACATGTCAATTCCGATTGCTGTCACGCGCGTCATAAAACTGACATAGCGTTGATGAAACGAAGCGTGACAGCTGAACATACCTGTGTCTGAACTACGTGACTGCAGCAGTGTATGATATTGATTTCAGACAACTGTGTCAGAGTGGTGCAGTACAAACAGACATGTTATTACAACGTACATGTCGTCCCCTATATGGTTATATATGTACTGATGTACATGCTAATGTTTTAAACAATAATATGTTGAGTTCGTATATAACAGTTTATATACATCTTATATTTTACATCTTTTTATAACCCCATTTCCAACTAACGACAATAAAATATTATGGCAAAGATTTTCATGAAATATGTTTGAAGGCATAACATTGCGGTAACACTCTGCTACATTAATGTGAATAGTTTGTATGCATGTTAGACAATATATAGTCTTGGAAATGAACATATTTTACAAAATAACAGTTGTTAATTATCTTAATAAAAATATAATAAAGTGGAGCCCAGAGACTCTTCATTTTCATATTTTCCTGATACTTCAGTAATCTAGACATGCTAAACATTATAGACTTGCATGGGCTGTATTGGATATATTTGTATCAGGGTGTGTATGACAGACAATGTGTATAGACGAAGGTGTGGGTTGAAGAAGGTATTATGGTACAGTCGTGCCTCGTTTATACGGACACTTGCGTCATTTCACAATTCGTCCGTATAAACTGTATTGCTGTTTTGCGATTGTGAAATGACTAATCACATTGAAAATGCCGATGACAAAACTTACACACATTTACACTGTTTTGTTTAATTGTCTAATGTAATTACGGAATACGCCAAATATTGAATTAATATGAGGCTACGTCGAAATCTTTACCATTGAATAAGATTCTTCTAAATATTTATCCGCCTTCGAGAATGAAATCCACGTGCAGACATGACATAAGCATTGATAAGCATGATATTGATAACGTTTTTGATTGTGACGACAGCAAAAGTATAGTGAAGGAAATGTTTGCTCGTTTTAGCGACAGCGGTTAACATGTCTGGGTACAGACTACATTTAACCAGCGTTCATGCCTCACTAACTAAACTGTAGCGTTGTTGAACACGGGACACACAGTCTATCACAACCACAACACCGGCATGCTATCGCGGCGACAAATATTTGAATTTCGCCTATCAACAATACAGCTCTTCACAGACATGACATGCGCGCACAGAAAATCTCAAGATGCTATGAATTTCGGGAATAATCTCAAATCTATCCTTCAATATGTTTGAATTAACGGCTAATCCTCTTGTAAAATACACGCACCAAAATAGCCCGTGTTTCAATCTACCAGTACACTGTCATTGTCGGCCATGATGGCGACCCTCACTGAAACACGATTATAAACTCACCTGTTGTTGTCGGCGAAGAACAAAGACACAGGTAGGTATATATGACGATGAAAACGTGAAATTCAGATGAAGGTATCCTTAAAATATCCACTCAGCCACCAGGTAGGGAAATCGCCGCCATATTTGTTGTCTCTCTCAGTCTGCTGCAATTAGGTCATATATCGGAATAACATTCCTACCTGTCCCGTCAGCCTAATCGGTGTAAAGGTAAAATGGTACTCGTGAAATAACATGCATGGATACAAAATATCACAGCTATCTTTTTACCGCATTGTAGTCAGTTTGAATTAAATAATATTTCCCACGTCTACCATTTTAAAATCCAATACTTTAGTTTGGTAAATGAACATTTAATATTGTCAATTAAATTAATTATTACGACTATAAATTCAGGTAGATAACTTTGTGGCGGATCAAATCACAAAGGTGTATTAATAGAACAGGACACCGGTCTACACATATCACACACATTGCATTGAAAGGATATTTACTGAGTCACCTGCGTAGGTGTGTAACGCTCTTACAAATTTATATCAATGACATCATAATCCATCTTCAGATAAAAAATCCACCTCGGACAATTTAAACAAAGTCTTAAAATTATAGTTATTTCCTTGAAGGGAACACAGCTTAAAAAACGCTTACGTGATGATACTCGCATATTCAGTCATTACGTTATACTTTACAATCTATAACTGTTTTGCTTTTGAGCCTTGATATAAGCGACGAGTTATGCTTGAGGAGAATTAATCTAGCTTCTTGAGAAGTTTCGATCTTTTTATGTAAACTAAAACTAAACTAAAATATAACTTAATCAAACTTTGAATGAAAACTCACAATAAAGTTTGAATTTCAGTAATTGTTTGTTTGGTAAACCTGTTCTGTACATTATGTAATCTGAGTCTCATAGCCCTCGCCCAGTACTTTGTCTGGAAGAGACAGAACAAATTACTCTACGTGAGGTGAAATGTGGGTAAACGAAACTCTATTTACAGCTTGTCCGGCTTCCACATCCAGCTGTACACTGTGTAAGACTGGGGCGACAAAAGTGGGTAGAGAATGTATGTGTCGCCCCCTCGACTTTGAGCAGGGGTCATGGGAACGTTTTGTGGCCTTTGTCAGAATTCACTCGACCGCATCGCCTCGTTGACACACGCTGTTACTTCCCCTTGCTATACATCTCTCTGTCTGGGAGCCATTGTGTCGTTCTACATTTCCCTTTTAGATTTACTGCATCTGCGTGTTTAAATTTATTGATTGTGATTAATGTTGGACGTCGATATCACGTATCTAAATCAGGAAATTTTATTCGTAAAAAGTTGGGATATTTTAACAGCTCTCGTATATCACTGAATACTGGCGGTATTGATGTTAAGACCGAGCCTGGAAGTAAAAATAGCTGTTTTACACGGTATTTCTATCAATTTTAATCATGTACACTATTGCGAAACGAAATAAACTGTGGCGGAATGTGGCCAGTTCATTCAACTAGGCGTTAGTCAGCTCACACATGATACACTTGTGGTGATCAAATAAGATTTGGGCTACGTTGGGTGGTTGAAAAGTTCTGAGCCTCAACAATTTGCGTGTACATGTAATTAAGTACAGTTTGCATTTGCACCGTAAACACAACAAAGTTTCATGTATCTTCAAGGAACGAGGCGACGACAAGGTTTTCTCTGTTAATGAAAATTGACAAAATTGTCATCAAGTATCTCCAACTGAAAGACCCGCGAAGATCCGGGGTAGAACAGGTCTTCAGCAACCCATGCTTGCCGCAAAAGGCGACTATGCTTGTCGTAAGAGGCGACTAACGGGATCGGGTGGTCAGGCTCACTGACTTGGTTGATACATGTCATCGATCCCAATTGCGTGGATCGATGCTCATGATATCAATCACTGGATTGTCTGGTTCAGACTTGATTATTTACAGACCGCCGTCATATTGCTGGAATATTGATGAGTGCGGCGTTAAACAACAAACCAACCAAATATTTCCAAAATGCGGCTTTAGCACGGGTGTGTTTAAGTTTTGGATTTGTTGTACTACTGAGATCAAAGTTCGCCTCGAAAAGTTTCGTCCTTAAGGAATATTAGAAACCTATGATCGAGGGTTCGAATCCCAAATTGGCCCTGATTGTATTTCAAGGTTTGTCAGCACCATACCATCCTCGGGGGTTTCACCAAAGTGGTAAATATCTGACACCTATCACATCGTGAGGAGCGAACGTTGAACTACTAGGCTACCCCATCGCCCCATGGCGCTAAGCTCGCATCGAGCGAATGAATACTGTTGACATGTACACTGTATAGTGAAACCTCAATAATCCAGACTGTACCTTACCCAATGAAATCTGGATTAACGAATAACTGGTTTCCGAATTAACGGGGCCTGGTTAACGATGTCTCACTGTATATACCTCGCCCAACATGTACGCTGAGAATATGCTGTTAACTTGTTATGCGCCAAAACAGCAATATTCCAGTCACTAACAGCAATATTCAAATTTGTAAATATCAAGTATCAGCCATTTTCCCGAGGCAAGAGAGTTAACTGACTATAAAAGTCCAGTTTCCACACCTTGCCGAACTAGGCCGGAATTCCCGGGCTCGATCGTAGCGCCACCAGTGGTTATTATGAGTTATGTCCCTTCTAAGCCTCCCCTATGGACCAATCCGCTTCCATCAGGCCTCAGACCACAGTTATCCCCCCTAAGTTTTACCATGAACCGGAAGGAAAATAGGAGAATATAGTATTCTGTTTAAATGGGCTATTTTTCTTTTGACCCCAAGTTGAAGGCCGCTGTGTGTGTTTCGGCTCGAAACCTCCGGTGAGCATTGTTGACAGTGGTTACTGCGAAAGCAAGGTGGTGGAACGCTGGCCGAAACTTTGCGTTTTAAGTGACAAGTGGCAGGTTGGTCAGCATGCAACAGGAGAACAGCCTACGACTGATAATAGTTATGGTGGGCTGTCATGTCACTGTAGATAACAAAGAAGGAAATTAATTGTGGTCTGAGGCCACCACTTGCATTTGTTTCAAACAAAATGGCGGCGCCCAGTCAAGTCGATGTGATCGGTAATCAAGATCTATATTGTGATAAAACGGATCTTACATCTCAAAGTGCATAAAATCACGCGAGCACCTTGATTAAAAACATGAAAAGGTTTGGAAAATATCTGTTGACAACGAGTTGGCGGTGAACATGCTTTGCAAATCCTCCAATCGACCGAAATCTGCACGACAGTTTACGAACCGGATTTCGATTTCGTTGCGCGATTTTGATTGGACTATGCATAGCCTCGTTAGCCCAGCCAAAATGTTACTCCATAATACCAGCCTAGTTCGGCAAGGGTGGAAAACTGGACTTTTAAAGACAGTTAACTCTCTTGCCTCGGGAAGATGGTATCAGCTGGCAAACCCATGGTCTATAGCATGTGATATTGCCAGGGAACGGTGACTAGCAATCAATTAAGTCACACATTGTTAACATCGGCGGTGGCGTAGTGGTGGTTAAAGCGTTCGCTTATCATGACGACGAACCGAGTTCGATTCCCCACATTGATACTATGTGTGAAGACCATTTATGGTGTCCTTCTCCATGACATTGCTGGAATATTGTTTACAGCGGCGTAAAACTACACTCACTATTCTTACGCGGGATCCCCACGGGCGGGCTTTCTGACTGATATTTTCATCTTGTGAGTGAGTGAGTTTGGTCTTACGACAATCATAGTCGCTTTTTACGGCAAGGAAAGAGCCCAGAGGTAAACACAGTATAGAATTTATCTTTTATTACAGGTGTAACCCAATCATTTTACTGCAAACGCTCGGTTGATTTCACTGCCTTAATTCAGACGGGCGTGGGGCATGGGGAATCTGCTTTCTGGATGCAAGTATGAAGGAGCAAGTGAGTTTAAATTTCACCTCGCATCGGCATTATTTCAGCCAGATAGTGACTGTGAATTATGTTACCAATTTCATTTATTTGCTGAATAGATATATCATAATAACGGTGGAGTACACCAGACATGAACTGCACACATTGTACCCATGCCGACAGTTTGTCTTACAGACCCTGATACAAATATATAGCAAATACAGCCCATGCAAGTCTATCATGTTTGGCAAGTCTAGATTACTGCAGTATCAGTATCTGAAAATGAAAAGAGTCTCTGGGCTCCCTTTTTTATATTTTTATTAAGATAACCGAACAACTGGTTTTTTTTGTACGACATATTCATTTCAGAGACTAGATGTTAGTCTACCATGCCGGGTCTTCGGGACTTTAAATCGACACTGACATTTTGATATTCCTTCTGAAATATGACATACCCACCAAACAAACATCTAAAACAAGCGGTAAATTGAACTTCCGAAAGGTACATGGAGTGTTCATCTTCACATAGTGGGTTGAATGCTGTACGCTGATTTGGCCAATGCTACATTATTTGCAGGGACAGCGCATTGAAATGTCCAAAGGGAGAGAACTCTTGACAAGGTGTGCGAATAAGACGAGTGAAGCGCTAGTAAGATATAACATTGTCATATCTATGGGCGCGTTGGACGACTTCGACAAAGTCGTGATACTTCGTTTCTGTGTGAAGTCACTATAAAATGTGAGTGGTTGTGAGTAAAACAGTATCCCACTTATATTACGGCATGTCAGCTTGATGTGAGGGGAAAACCTGGAATGAAGCAGGTCTTGGACGTTTAACACTTTGGTGAATCCAATAGCCTTTGGTTTGTTTGTTTGTTGTTTAAAGCCGCACTCAGCAACATTCCAGCTATATGACGGCGGTCATATTAGATATTCGAGTCTGGACCAGACAATCCAGTGATTGACATCATAAGCATCGATCTACGTAATTGGGATACAATGAAATGCATCAATCAAGTGGCGAGCCTGACCACCCGATCCCGTTAGTCGCCTCTTACGACAAGCAAAGTCACCTTTTTACGACAAGCATGGGTTGCTGAAAACCTATTCTAACCCGGATCTTCACGGGTCGAATCCAATAAGCGCGATATGGCGCTGACAAACCTAGAAACATGATCGAGTCATGAATTCTGATCCAACACCACACGTTCCTGGTACCTCAAAGGGACACAACTCCGTACAACAAATGGCGGCCACAATGATCCTCCGGTTTGGAATACGTCCCAAGAAGCACGTGCTTGTTCAAAC